CAGACCTTGATGGGGTTTTCAATATGTTATGTCATCAACCAGAAAGTTTAAGAAATAAACAATTTAGCTTGGTAAAAAATAAAATTGCTTCATGTATGATTAATGAATTATCAGGATTAGATACTTTGGCAAACATAGGTATTACTTCTATTTATAAAATAGCAATTAAAGAAAAACAAAAAATTTAGAGTCTCCCAAAACCCGGTTATCTGAAAATACAATAAAAAAAATTATGGATTAATATTAAACTAAAAAAAAAATTATTGTAAATTGTAACGGAAAACTAAAATGGTAATTTATAAAAAAGTTGCGGTAGCAAAAAACTTCAAATTATGTAGATGTTCATGGACTACCAAGTCCAAGAAGAAATGTCAATAGAATATAACCTAATCACTTGTATTTTTACCAGCAGAAATGGGTTGTAAGTCAATTCACGGAGATTTTCTTGGTGGTCTGGAAGATGATAGCATTCTCAAATTTCTCAAATTACAAGTCCCAGAACTAGATTCGTTCTCAGCTTCCCATTCCATTTTACCACCTTTTTCAAGAGCCCATACATCTACACAAACTATTAACACCAGTTTAATATATGCTGGACAACACTTCTTCACACACTCTCAACATTAAGAAGATCCAACAGAGTCTCTCCTCAGAGAGATTTAACAAAGTAGTTGGTTGACACGAATATTCAAATGTTCTGATATCCGAATAAAACTAATGTTATTAGTACAATGGCGATGTTAAATCATTTGATCCCTGTAATTTCTTTGCGGCATGATTATAATCTTTACTTTTCTGGTTTTGCGCATAGAGTAATAAGTTTTACATTGATACTCAATAGTTAGCTGAGTTAAATGAAGAAAAATGCAAAATGAAAGTTGGAGCCCAAGAATTAGAAAACCAAGTTCAATACCAGAACGATTAAGTCAAGGCCAAAGTAAAGGAAGTATACTTTTGTTTATTTACTGTTGTTTTTTGCTTTTAATGCATGGTTTCTATTCGTAATGCAAACTCGAATTATTCGAATTATTTAATTCTGCTGCTATATTGATATTATTCAACATAATTTTTTTCTTTGATTTCTTCTTGGCAGCTTCTTGAA